CCTCTTTCACCGCGTACAATGAATACGCGCGCAAAGGGCAATACCTAGTTAGAGAGAAGGTAAAAAGAGCTTTTCGTAGAAAATAAAATTTCCTACAGAAAAGTTTCTACACTTTTCCTTCTGAGTCCCAGCGTTCGCGAGATGGTCCCAGAAAACCGATTTCTGAAAATCGATAAATGCACTCATTCAATCAATCTCAACGAAAAAACAGACGGAGGTCTTCATTTTTTTTATCTTGACAGATTGAAACGATGACTCTCGAGACCCCTGGCATCGTTGTCTGGCTGGGACTGTCCGAGTTTTGTCCGTGAGTCAGAGTTTCAAATCGCGGAGGCTTTTTTCTCGTACTCAAAATAAATTCTACTCTACCCCGAAGACCATTGGGAGGGGAATTACCGCCTTCCATTGCGTCGATCACGTAAGCTGAGGCAATATACACTCGCGATATATTGATAATACCCGGATTATAAATTTCTATGGATATTCCACGTGTGGATATTGTTTTTTCAGGTGGTTTCGTTTTTCGAACTTGAATTTTTGGAAAAACCGTTGAATTTGCATTTCATGGCTTGTTGTCTCGCCCGAAATTCGTGGAGGTTGCTATTATTACCACGTAATGACTCATTACTTATTGTCCCACTGCCCCAGAGTTTCACGTCACTCGGGAAGATTTCGCATCAATTTTTCGCCAATTTATTTTGATTCTGAAAATGATTCTCAATGAGACGGAAGTTTTCCTGGTTAATTTCCCAGATAACTGTGGAGTGAGTGCACTTACAAGGAGAAGTGTAAAGACTTTTTTGTGGGCAATTGAATTCTTTAGGAAAATGCACTTTTATTTTTTTTTCCTAAATCCATCGGCTCAAGAGATATAACGAAATAGAGAACAAATCCGTAATTTCTGGAGTCCTCAAAAGTCTTCTCTAGTTACGTGAATGGAAAAACACTCACCAGGTATTTGCTCGCTATTCTTCTTCACCTTTAGACCCATCTTGTCGAGTCCTGCCATATTCTGGAGCTCCCAGGACGCGTCTGTCGAGGACTGAAGTTCCCAGGCGCCCTGCGCCCAAAAAAAAACCCAAATTTCACATTAAATTCTCAATATCTCCTGCACCAGTGGTTCGAGAGCAAAATCCAATAAGAACTTTTTTGAGCAGGATCAAATTTCCCACAAAAATGTTTTCCGTGAATTTCCCCTAAAGCCATTTATTCTCGAGATATTTTGGCAATAAATTCAATAAAATGTCCATTTTACCTGGAACTTCATAATTAATCAACGAAAACTCTCAATTACCGGATCACAATCAATATGAAGGGGTTGATGACCTTGCCCCTCCATCGAAGCGATTCCCCCAGATCTCACTGGAGCTCCTGGAGGCCGTGTCATCCTCGGAGTCGCGTTATCTATCTCTTCCACGAATTCAGGATTTTCCCTTTTCCCTAGTTCATTATTTGATTTCCCCGCCAAAGTCTCCTGATTGTCATCCCGAGGAGTTCTGTCCACCTGACTCGATTCATTCCACGTCATGTCTATCGTATCGTCTTCGTTATCCATTTCCTCGAAATCTTCACTCGCGCCTGAACGAAAAAAATGAATTTTATTCATTAATTAATCAAGGAAATCGTCTTGAGGCAATTAGGGACCGCCAGATGATTACTTCGAATATACTCCACCGGTTCCAACTCTCCGCTGAAGAACTCTGACAAATGAGTCATTACTGTGACGATGTCCTCCATCCCAGGGCGGCCCTCAGGATTTTTCTGCCAACACCTGAATGTTTCGGGATTAATTAGCTCAATTAACTCTTTAACCAGCAGTCCTATGAGAAAATGTTATATGACTTTTTCTGCAGAGAATTAAATTCGCCATGGAAGAGTCACGCTACATTTTATCGTAGGCCCACTTCTGAAGAAGATTACGATTCAATTGAGGGAGAGTTAACAAAAATCAATGAACCTCGTGATAAGGTCCTCAATGGGCTTGGGACAACCCTCGATGAGTGGTGGGCGTTGACCAACATGCACTGCCCACATGATTCTGTAAGCGGATCCTCCAATGTCGTCGAAAGGCTTTCTCCTCGTCAGCACTTCCCACAGGATTACTCCCCAACTGAAGATGTCACACTTCTCAGTGTATTTGGAGCCCTCGAAGACTTCTGGAGCCATCCACGCTGCTGAACCCTTGTTGTTCGTCATGTAGGTGTTCAGGTCGCACGCAGTACCAAAGTCGCAGATCTTCAACGTTCTCCCCCCCAGGATCAACAATAAATTTGGGGGTTTCAGGTCTCTGGGGAATTCCTCAGAGAATTAATGCCATTTTTTCATTTGTGTGAATAATAAATGCGCATGTAGAATAATTTAAGAGAAAAATCTAGCTTTCTCGAAAATTTAGTTGCAATCAATTAATCAGAAATTAATTAATTAATTAATATTTACCCCTGATACTATTGGATTCTTGACTGGATAATATCAATGATGGTTTTTTCTCAAAAAATTTTCTATTTGAATTCTTTCTACAATAATTATTGGGCACTAATTTTCTAAGTCTTAACGCTCAAAGTCTGTGATGCAAAATAAAATAAAATGCAGTGGAAAAAATTTTAATAAAAAAAATCTCGAGAAAAAA